GTAGCACGCGTCTAGCATAATGTAACCAATCCTAACGAATGATTAGAATGAATGACGTTACTGTCATTTTGGTGTAAACTGAATCATTCGTTTTCATTGGTAGACGCGTGCTACTTGCTACTTGCCACTGCCACGCCACTTTGGTGGGCGCTCTCCCTTAGAGCACGATGCATGGTGAAAATAACAGACGTTCATATAAACGCTAATATATATATTTTTTAAAATGCGTGTAAAATTAGCAGCACAAATTTTTTCCAACTCAGTTGCCTCAGCAATATCAACAGCGATAGCTGTAGGGCAGTTACACACTAAAACGGCTCTTGATACTGCCGAATTTTTGAAAATTATAAATAATATTTTTGATGGTCTTAACAGACTTAACTTTTAATAATAAAATGTTTTTTCTACTCTCTTACTAGTAAATTGTATATTACCTACTATTTGGATGATAAGTAAATGCATCATAACAGATACTGACACGTAATGACTAGTACGTAATAAAAAAAATTACGCTTCAGTTCTATAAAAATCTGTAATATCACATAAGCCTTGTAAGTCAGTTGGTCGAGTTACCATGGAAACGAATTAACAGGCGTTGTTTTGACAGGTTAAAAATTATTAATCTGTCAGTGTAAATATAGAGGTAATTTAATTTTTATTTTTATAAACAAAAATAATGGTAGAAAAAGTATAGTACACAACTTGAGTTGTAAGCTTATTACATGCTTGTAAAATTACTGCGCTTGCCGCTACGCGGCTCGCGCGCAACTTTTTTACTCGCATGTAATAAGCTTCTTACAACTCTCATTATGTAATATACTATTGATATTGTCAATAATAAAAGTACTTCTTGAGAACAAGAAATAATAAATATTTTTTTTCCTAAAATTTTAATTTTACAATCTTAGTTTGAAAAGAATTAACATTCAAATATACTTATTTACTTTGTTTTGAAATATCATCTAATTAGTGATGTTTTAATCTTTCTAATCCTGTCCGTTTATCAGCTTTTACCTATTGTTCCTAGGCAGATGAACCTCAACTATTTATATATTGGAAATTCCCTGTCATTTTATCAAGATATGTACTTAGTTGCCAATATAAATGAGTCAGATTAAATAAATTATTAGAAGAATTTTTGTACTATAGTGTATTTTTATGTATGAGAGAGTAATAAAACAATAAATTATGTATGCAAATCCCTAAACTGTTGATACGGGTGACTCAATGAAAAACAGATATTTGTCAACAAGTTTACAGAAGTATATAGGAAAACAATTTTAAATTGAGTATGACCACCAGGTATAAAGGTTGGAGCAGAATAGAATACAATACTTGTGAGGGTTACTAATCCCTAAATAAGGTTGCCAGTGTCGGAGTGATGGAGGTTAACAGGTACTAATGAATTTGCAAGAAATGTAAGATGTTTATTTTATTGGTTATATATAACCAATAAAAGTTTAATAAGTACCTACCTATTTGCAAAATAAAGTTTAATTCTTTAGATAAAATAAAACGTTTTATTTTATCTGAAATGAGTGCATTCCACGAAGTAAGGGTTTCAACAATCAAACATTTAATTCTTTAATTCCAGGAATCTACGACAGTAATTGACTAGATAATTACCTTCTAAACTTATTCCACAGAAAATGTGATAGTGGGTTTTTCCATTTTGTAGGAAGGTCCAAGTGGCGTATTCAAAATTCTTAACAGTTCACTAAAAGTAAGTACTTCAGTTGCAAGGTGCAGTTTATTGTGTATACTAGTGTTATGGAAAATTTGGAAGTGCCGTGTAAACGCCGAAAAATTGGTCCTTTAACAGTTAATGAAAAAACATTAATATTTAATTGTTTTAAATCATTTACAGACAAACGTTTATGTGAAAGTGTTAATGAGACCGTTGAGTTAGTTAGCAGTACACTTGGTGTTGGTGAGTTATTAAAGAAGAGAAATGTGGTAGTTTTCAAATGCCACGTAATGCTCCAGGGAAACCAAAATTTCAAATAGAATATCATTTTAAAGAAGGACTTCGACGGAAAGTGCATGAATAATTCTTTAGACAAGAATTTCCAATATTGGATACAGTTCTTGTCTCAGTTCGAGATGATAAGGATTACCCAGAAATGAGTCGAAGTACGTTATGGAAACTTTTAAAAGAAATAGGCTTCCGCTGGAAAAAGAATCCCAGAAAGTCTATTTTATAAGAAAGAAGCGATATTGTCATATGGAGAAGACATTTTCTAAGAACCATAAAGGAAATGAGAAACCAAAAAAGTAAAATATTTTATCTTGATGAAATATGGATCAACGAGGGTCATACACCAAATAAATTTTGGCAGGATGAAACTGTTACAAGTCAAAGGCACGCTTTTGTAAATAACTTATCTACTGGTTTAAACCCACCATCAGGAAAGGGACGCAGGCTGATAATAGTACACATTGGCAGTTCAGACGGTTTTGTTGAAGGTGGTTTATTAACTTTTAAATCAACTCGTACCGGTGACTACCATGAAGACATGAACGCTGATGTCTTTCAAGAATGGTTCGAACAAATGATAGATCTTCTTCCTAAGAACTGTGTAATAGTAATGGATAATGCAAGTTATCACTCCAGACTTATAGAAGGACTGCCCACAACCAAGTGGTTAAAAAAAGACTTGCAGAATTGGTTGAGTTCAAAAAATATTACGTACCATCCCGGATCTATAAGAAAGGAACTTTATTCGTTGTGTGCCCTTCATAAAGAAAAATTTAAAAAATACGAAATTGATGAAATTGCCAAAAATCGTGGAATGACAGTACTTAGATCCCCACCATATCATTGTGAATTAAACCCGATTAAACTGGTATGGGCACAGATAAAAAGTGAAGTTTCAAGAAAAAATACCACTTTTAAAATTCATGATGTTAAACAGTTGTTTTTGGAGGCCGTAAATAATGTAAAACCTGAAAACTGGGAAAAGGCAGTAAATCACACTATTAAAGAAGAGGAAAAAATGTGGAAGCTGGACAATATTACTGATAAAATGATCGAGCCAGTTATTATAAATCTTGGTTCTGAAAGTTCATCTTCTGAATCTGATTTGGATTTGTAACAAGTAGCTGTACGTTTTATATTAATATTTTTATTCATCTATTTAACATACCTTAGACGGTTTTAAAAACTCTTTTTCTCTTTTGTAATTTTTAAAAATTAAAAAAAATGTGAATTTTTTAAAACCCTTTTTAATGTAGGCCAGTCAGTTCTAATATAGTGTGTGATAAAAGAGGTCACTTTTGTTTACATACACATAACACTTTATAACACTGAAATAATTCATTTATTTTTTACAATTATTCAAAGTAATTTTTCAATTAATCTTGAGCACGCCCATGGAGTGGTCAAGGGTACCAGTTAACATTATGCTAATTACTCTCCCGTTCATAAAAATAAACTATAAGCAACAACAATTTTGTTTAATTCATTAATAATTTTTGTATTTTGACAACGACACCCGATTTGGACGTCGAAACGTTAATAAAATCATTTTTTTAGTAAAATTGTGGCTTACTTCCGATCAAAACTAGTTAACATCTCCATTAACAAACATTTTTTTCATTTTTATAAATGCTTGTCTTGCAATTTCAATTTGTATATTGATTTCCCTAATAAATACCTTGGTCATTGTTTTTATTGTATTATTGTAATGACCTGTAAGTTTAATTTGTTCAAAGGGCATATTTTTTAACAATTTTTTTTTTAATTTGAAAAAAATGCTTTTTTTATTATATTAACAAAAATCACAAAGAGTAAAAAAATGTAGGTTTTGCTTTTCTGAATATTTTGGTCATAACTTGCTTACTCGTGACGTAAGAAACTTAACAAAAATAAACCTTTTTTAAACACTTTAAAAACAGTTCTAATGAGTGTTTGTGGAAAAGTGCTTCATTTTTTATTATTTCACATTGAAATATTCAACATGGAATTTGACAATAAGAACCTATTTTTCAATAAGTAGAACAGTATTGACTTGTGAAAAAACTTTATAGAACAAAAGTTGTTTAGAATTACTGATTTTAGTCACTTCCGAACTTATCTTGAACATTTTGAACATATTTTTTCACTCCCGATAAGGAGTGATACTGAACCATAGGGCAACAGCATAATCTTTTTTTTTTGATATCTTAGCTAGGCGTAATCCAAATTTCATGTCAATCCAAGCGATTATTTAAAATTAGGAGGTTTTGCAATATTTTACCGTGAGTGAATGGACTAAATCTGGAAATAAATTCTGTATATTAGCTTGAAATATTTTAGTTTACATCAATTCTGAAAATTAATTTGTTTGAAAGTTACAAAAATGTAATTTACATGAGATGTAATTTATCACTGCTAAGTTTACTATGTATTTTATATTTTGTTATTTTTTTGTATTGTGTTGATAAATATATAATTTGTAGAAAATCTTTACTGTTTTCATTAATCAATTTTTAGCATTTTTTCTGAAGAAAAATCGGAACTTCGTAATATAGATTACAAGCACGTTAAAATTATTTGTGAAAATGCTGAATGCCATCCTTATATCGACTCTCTATTATTTTTCAATATTGGCAAAGATTTCAATGAATGTCGCCACCATACAGTCAGGTAGTACTTAGGCGTGAGGGGCAGAGGTGTAAGTGGGCGGAGTTTAACACTGAATTCGTTTTTACCTTAGAGTGAGTTATCTAGGTAGTGGTTTATAATCAATGGTAGGAGCTTAGATTGTAGTCACTTTTGTATTTTACAATTTAATAATAAAGTGCCAAACGCTAATTTGAGCCTGTTTGATTTCTACTTCTCGGTCACAACAAAATGATATAGGTATTTTATTCTATATTGCAAATTTTGTTATTGTATAGACAATAGCAAGAGTAGTACCAAAGAATATAGACGCTTAAGCGTCTATATTCTTTGGTACTACTCTTGCTATGTAACTGTGTTATGAAAAGTAATAAAGTAAATAAATAAAATAAATTACCTGTGTTCGCTAAGTGAACTTTCATATTTAAATGGTTTTCCACAATGGCATTTATACAGGAAGTTCCACCTCTTCGGTGGTTTTTGATTGGGTCCTTTAGCAACCTTAATCGTAACCCAATCAGTTTCATTTTCGTGATATTTAAAACAGTGTCGTCTCATCACAGCCATCGAAGCTCCAAAAAATCCACACAAATTACCCTTATGATGTATTCTTCGAACAAGAGTAGTCCTCACGTGACAAAGATGTCTGCGTTGCATTCTAAACATTGTCTCTCTTGCATTGGTATAGCTTTTTACGACCAATTTCTAGAACATTCAAATTTTCAGTATAGCTTGCAGTTATGATATGTGGCGAATGTTGTAGAATCGTATGAGTTTTATAACTTCTCTTTAGAGTATAATATTTGTTACATAGATGGCAGTAATGAGACGCTCTGCAGGTATGCATTTTCAGATTTGCTTCACTTTTATAGCTTTTTTCGACAGCTGTTACATGCGTATGGTTTGATTGTTTTCTTCCGATGTCTTTCTAAATGTGCATTGTAAGTAGCTATGCCATATGAAACGTCATTACAATACTCACAATCAAACACACATTCTGGGTGATACTTACTAACATGGTCATCTAATTTGATGATATCCATTTGTTCCTTACAGCTAGGACATTTCTTGGTTGAAAAATGAACTTTTTGAATATGAGCACCTCTTTCTGCAATTGACGTTAACTTTTCAGGACACATGGTGCAAAAAATAAATTGTGTATTTTTATGAATGTTTTTATTATGAGCATCTATGTCACTTACAAACTTACAGCACAGCGAACATTTTTGTACTTTACCTTTTCTGCGAACTTCTAAATGTTTTTCCATTGATTTTATTTTATGTACTCCACAAAATTTACATCGAACAGTCGTATGTTTCACTAAATGTCTCGCAAGTGATAAGGCTGAACCAAATGTTTTATTGCAAATCTCACAAAAGGTAATAACCTTTTGAATATCATGTGAACGCATATGTTTCTCAATAATTCTTTTATGAAAAAGTTTGCCACAACGTGTACATGTTTCAGTTTTGAAATGGTGCCGAAATACATGTAATTTGAAGTGTTGAAGTGTCTTAAATTGTCGACCGCATGATTTGCACGTATTTGATTCAAAATGTTCTGTATAATGTAACTCAAATTCTTTTTTGTTTGTAAACTGTTTAGAGCACACATCACAATCATATGCTTTTGTTAAAATGTTCTTGAGTGGTTTTGGATTGTTGGGATTATGCATATTTCTGACATGCTTATTAAGGCTTGAAGAAGTTGTAAAAGTTCCGCTACATTGCTAGAAATGAAATAGATAAACATTTAATGAAAAATACAGTTCTACTCTTTATCTGTAGGAAATAAGTAGGGGAGACCGGGGTTAGTTGTTACACGAGGCAGGTTGTTACATTTAATTTTAATGAACTTAACAAGATGGCACCTTTAACCCTTTCAGGACGGTTGACCGATATATCGGACAGAAAGAAAACTGCCACACGGACGACTGACCGATATATATGTCACTATGTTTATCCGTCTCCAAAGACCAGTGTATGATTAATCAGCCAAAATTTTAAAATGAAATTGGCAGGTAGGCGACTGGCGGATATATCGTGAGCTTATAATTTGCCACACAGACGAGTGTCGTTTATATCAGTCACCGTCCGATATATGCGACACTCGGCTAGAGAGATGCGCACGCAGCATACAGATTACTTGAAATTTCCGGTGGCTACGTCGCCACGTGTTTCAGTAGCAACTAAAATGTCGTGTAATGAGAACGCCGGGCCTTCGAGCAAAAGAATTAAAGTTAATAATAATAGTACAAATGATTATTCTTCGTATTGTGGATTAACCCAACAGGAAGTGGCTAATTTACTAAAAATAGTGGACACACTTGCGTTTTCTGATAGTGAAGAGGAGCCATTTTCTGATAGTGGGAGTGAATATTTGCCAACTGGAGAAAGTGATCAAGAAAGTAGTGCTGAAGAAGAAATTGATGAAGATGTAAGCTTAGAGAATTGTGACAACTTAGATGCAAACGATCAAAAGAATATTGAAAAAGATTATAGTGACATACAAATCCAGTGGAAAAAAAATCAGTTCGTCCCCAAGTTACATAAATTTGATGATAGTCAGAGCGGAGTACAGGACATGATGAACTTAACGGAAGAACCAAAGGCAATAGATTATTTTTTGAAAATTTTTACCGAGGATACAGCCAAATATATAATTGATGAAACTAACAGGTATGCTATGCAAAACAATGATAAAAATGGAAACATCTTTATTTAGATGAGTTCTTTACCTTTCTTGGATTGACTATGCTTATGTCCAGAAACAAAAAGCTTGAAGTAAAGGAGAATTGGTCAAAAGATCCTCTTTTGTACTCCGCATTTTTTAGCAAGAAAATGTTAAGAGACAGATACTTACAAATTATGAAATATTTGCATTTCTCTAACAATGAACATGCAGAAGCTGGAGATCGCTTGTATAAAATAAAGGAGGTTTTGACACAAATAAAACAAAGATTTCAGTCACAATTCTATCCCTTTGAAAACCTCGTTATTGATGAGAGTATGATATTATTTAAAGGAAGACTCCTTTTTAAACAATACATAAAAACCAAACGCCACCGTTTTGGTATAAAACTTTATGTTATATGTGACTGCGAGACTGGTTTTGTTCTGGATTTTATTGTTTATGTTGGGAAGAATACATATTCTACCGAAGAAACTATCAAAGGCTTGGGTGCCACTGGAAATGTTGTGGCTCAGCTTATGAAATCATATCTAAACAAAGGCCACTCACTGTTTACTGACAATTTTTATAGCAGTCTAATCTTGTCACATTATTTGTATGAACATAAAACAAATTCTTGTGGGACTGTTAGATCTAAAAGGCTTCACATGCCTTCTTTGCAGGAAAAATTGAAAAAGGGTGAAGTAGATTGGAGAAATTCTGACATTTGCTTGGTGTTTAAATGGAAAGACAGAAGAGATGTTATGATGATAACAACAATGCATGAAAATAAAATGATTGTTCTTGACAAAATTGATCCTACTACTAAAGAACCAGTAAGGAAACCAGATTGTGTTATTGAGTACAATAAACAAATGGGGTCAGTCGACTGCTCTGACATGATGATAAGTAGCATTGATTGCATGAGGAAGACCACAAAATGGTACAAAAAATTATTTTTTCACACAGTAGATATCTGTGTACTAAATGCCCACGCTATGTTATTGACAAACCAGACTATGCCAATGCCGCTTGCCAAATTTCAACTGAGTCTTATACATCAGATTTTTAGAAGGTAAGTTTTTGTTTCTCTGTCGTTATTTACATATATTATAGCTTTTTTTAATTTCAGATATGAATATCAAGTGAAAAATCCCAGATCCATGTCAGCGGATATATCCAGATTAAAGGAAAAGCATTTTCCTTCATTTGTTCCAGCAACCGAAAGGACAAAAACTGCCTCCAGAAGATGTGTTGTGTGTTCGCATACAAAAGAAACGGACAAAAAACGCAAGGTATCGAGATACATGTGTAAAGAATGTGATGTAGGTTTGTGTGTAGTTCCATGCTTCGAGATATACCATACTAAAGAAAATTTTTTAAAAAATTGCACTTTTCTACCAAAAAATTTAAAAAAAATGTTTTTTTACTGTTTTTTAATAAAAGCTATATATAAAACATTCCTTACATTAAAAAATATGCATGTCTTTACTCAATAAACAGTTATTAAACATAACGTGTTAATTTTTTTATTCTGACTGATATATGTGCCATCCGTCCACAAGGCACGCTAAAAACTGCCGTCTGTGTGGCATTTCAAGGGCAAATAGGTGCCGTCCTGAAAGGGTTAACTCGACGTAGTTAATGCGGTGCATACTTCACTGCATCTCAACGAACTTTGGTTAGTTTGGTTTAGTTCTAGTTAGGTGGCGTTAGCAGAAAACATGATTTATTTTAATATAACTTGTTATTTTTAAACATCTTAAATTGACTATCAAATGATATTTATATTTTCACATAAATACAATGTTGGATTTTTGCAATGATCAGTTCGACTTTAGATTATTGTAATAAAACACCATAAAAAGAGTTATTAGTAAAACACTTTCATGTTTAGACATAAAACACTTTCATGTTTAGACAGTCACAGCGTAAGAGCTCATTTGTGTACTTAACGAGAGGGTAGCCGTTAGGTATACAAAATGTCAAAACACCATAATGTGTTATTTTCATTTTTGAAATGTTTCATATTTTTTTTAAGTACAGGAAACATAAAAAAGATCTTACTAACGAATGCGATAAAGCATGTAAAAAGCTTAAAGAAGATATTTTACGGCTTTACTTCACACCGGGTTTGATTTTAAGCAGCAACAAGGTTTTTAGTGCATATCAAGTAACATTCACAATACCTGTTACAAGATTGGCGATAACTTCAGAAGGGTGTGCAGCCTTAATGGAAGGATTAAAAGAGGCCATCAAGGTAAGTCAACATTGATTTATTAAGTAATCGAAATAGTAAGTATAGTATAACAAGTAGTAAGAACTTGTGTCCAATGGTGATACAGAGGAACAGTAATGTACTGGAAAATATTTTGGTTAAAAGCGTTCTCATTTATAGTGACACAATCTTGAGACTAAGAACCATGAATGTCCTACTAATTGTGTTGTGCTCCACTTCTGCTACCGTTATCTGGACTCTGTAACGATGTACATGTAGACAAACGTCATTTACTGTACATTTTCATGTCACAATCATACAGAATTTGCGTTATTTTCATTTCAGCCTGACTACGGGTGTAATCATCATATTTGCGTAATTTGTTTGCTATATGCTCTCCAAAACTAGCATATTCATTTTTAGTTTCTTTACCAAAATTACTTAGAATGTTTTGAGCATTTTCTAAAATTGAAGACCGCAAAGAGTCTGTCATTTCTGAATCTACTTCTTCTTGGTCAGGACTTATATTGGTGTCTAGGGTTTCTATCTCCTAAAATACAAAAAACAAGTGATATAAAAAGGAAAATATTTTTGACGAGAAGTTAATTTACAACTGTCTTTCAGATGCTATCAGGAGTGACAAAGTGGAAAGAAATCCGCGAAATATTTCAAGGATCGTTGGAATTTTCATAACCATTTGGAATTTTTCTCACTGTTTAAGTGAGGCACGTGGACAATACATAAGAGATTAAATGTCGAATCGGAGAGGCCAAAAATGCATTCTTGGCTATGAGCTCTGTGTTCAAAAGCCATGACCTCACCCTACAAACAAAAATAAGGCTCCTTAAATGTTACGTGTACTCAGTGCTTCTGTATGGAGTAGAAACGTGGACATTGAAGGCGAAAACTCTATCAAAACTTCAGGCCTTTGAATTATGGTTATACAGAAGAATCCTGAAGATATCATGGACTGACAAAGTCACCAATGAAGAAGTACTGCGGAGGATGAACACAACCGCGGATTTGGTCAACATTGTGAAGAGCCGTAAGTACTTGGGACATATAATGAGAAATCAAGGCAGATACGAGCTACTCCAATGCATTTTGCAGGGTAAAATTGAAGGAAAAAGAGCCCCAGGACGAAGAAGAATATCCTGGCTTGCTAACCTGAGAGCATGGGATAGAAAGACCTCAACATTGCTATTTCGTATAGCAACCAACAAAATCATCATAGCCAGAATGATCGCCAACGTTCGGAACGGACAGGCACCCTAAGAAGAAGACGTGGCTTCGTTCTCATTGGTCGATGGGTGGGACTTTAGGCGCCACAGGGGGCGGGGTTTCTTTTTCATTGGTCGGTGGGCGGGACGCGACGTGTCGTCACACCTGCCCATCAGTCACACTTGACGGTACATCAAAGGATGCCGCTTTTTCCCACAGTCACCAAATTTTCACAGGCCAAATCGCCCTAACACCTGGTGGGTGGAGCACGTGGCTTCGTTTTCATTGTTCGTATAAATCACTGAGACTAGAGGTGAAACAGCTTAGTAGGAAAGCATATAGGTGTCACAATGAAAATATTGAGAATAATGTACAAACTGACCCTAGTAGTTTTTGGTCCTTTATAAAATCTCGTGGTGAATAATACAATTCAAACAGAAGTCTCTTATAGGTGTGTGGATATAAGTGGCTGTCAGGATATTGCCAATGTTTTTGCAGAATACTTTGGCTCTGCATTTCAAAGATCAAATAGTCTCAATAGTAGTACCTACACTGAATCAGGGGGGTTTTACTTTTCAAAAATAACAGTTGAGAATGTTCTCCAAAGCATTAAAAGACTAAAACCAAAAAAATCTACAGGTATGACAATATGCCAGCACACATTTTTAAAGCTTGTACAGAAACACTTTCTGTCCCTCTCACACTAATTTTTAATTTGTCCCTTAAACAAAGTAAATTTCCAGATAGCTTAAAGCATGCAGTTATATGCAATCCATATTTATATAGCATTTAAATACCAGATTTAAATGCTATATTTAAATCTGGTAATGCTGGTAACATTGAGACTATAGCCTCTATCTGTCATCAATTCAATTGCTTGATATTCGAGAATGTGTTTTATAACAATATTTTGAATTATTTTGGAGATCGGTTCTGTCTAGAACAACATGATTTTTTCCCAGGGAAGTCCACTGTGTCAAATTTGTGTCTTTTTACAAGTTTTGCAGCAGGGGCCACAAATAATAAAACTCATCTGGATGTCATTTTTACCGACTGTACCAAAGCTTTTGATAAGATTGATCACTCTATACTTATTGAAAAGTTAAGCAAATTTGATTTTGATTCAGAAGCATGTATGTTGACGAGGTCATATCTTTCTGATAGGTTAAATCAAGTTAAAGTAGGGAACAGCTTATCTAAGCTATTTATGTCGACATCAAGGTACCACAAGGTAGTAACTTGGGTCCTCTTCTTTTCGCTATATTTATTAACAATTTGCCTCACTGTATGAAGTTTTTGACAAGCCTGCTATTTGCAAATGATTTTAAGATTTTTTGAGAAATTTCAAATCTGCAGGACTCTGAGATGCTGCAATGTGATCTGAACTCAGTAAGTCAATGGTTCGATGATAACAAATGTTTCTAAACACTTCTAAATGTCATGTTTTTACTATCACTTGAAAAACACAATACATGCAGGACCAATACAAAATTTCTAGCACTGTACTTGGATGAAACAACACTTGCAAAGATCTTGGCGTAATGTTTCAGCAAAATTTGGGATTTGGTGAACATTATCAGATCACCATTGGAAAGGCATACAGAACTCTTGGCTTCATAATTCGTAATTCAATTTTTTTTTTAACAATGCACTGGTAAGATCTCATTTGGAGTATGTCAATGTTGATCTGATTGAAATAGGTTCAGAAATTATTCTTGAGGTTTCTTTATGTCAGAAAATTTGGTATCTATCCATACGATAGATATGATTTCTTATAATGCTATGTTAACTTGTTTTAAAGTTCAGCGACTGGATAATAGAAGAAATTTTCACTTAGCCCTTTTTATTTACTATGTTGTAGATCACATTAAATATAAAAATTGGTTTTTTATAAATAATATTAAATTTAATGTTCCAAAAATAGATCTAAGAATTAATAACAAACTGTTCTCAACTAATAAGACTAATTGTTCACCAATAAATAAGATGTTAGAAGAATGTAACCATGTGATAACTAACTGTGATATAGACTTTTTAAATTCTTCTGAGAAACAAATAAAAGTTGCTTTTGAAACAAATTTCTAGTCTGCAAAAGTTGTGTCTTAAAATTTAGTTTAGATGGTATAATGTTTTTTACTTGTTTTACTGTCTAGGTTTAGTATTTAATACAGTTACAGTGGAACCTCATTTATCCGTCAGGTCACCGGACCAAGGGTATGATGGATAATCGAAAAGACAGTTAACAGAACATTAAAAAAATTCATAGTATAACTCTCAAATTTTATTGGTATGTTTCATTTGACAATATAAGAGGGATTTATGTTAGTGCAGTCGAATCAATTTGAATTAAAATATTCCGAAATCTTTGTTTGCTTTATTGTTACTTCACATTTTGCGACAGCTGAATTTCTTAATTGACGTAAAATCATCAAATCTACCTTATTTGCTTCTTGTCGAGAATAACACTTGATAAATTGTATGTGCGATGCAGCTTCTCTAGTTTCTTTACGCAAATCTTTGTGGGTTGCAATACCATCATCAACATCGCCACCATCAAAGTTTCTGTCAGCTTTTGAATCAGATTCATCCGCCTCTGTTGCCATTTCAACGATTTCATGATCTGTCAGCAATTGATAGCCGTTTGCGTCGTCATCACAAATTAACCATTCATTTATGCCATCTTTAGGCAACGAAAACAAAACAGTTGATTCAGTCATAACTTCATTTAAGGGGGTTTCATCTTGAGTTGATTCAGGCCATAATTTATTCCACGCTCTTTTCTGTTTCAGCGTTATGTCCTAAACATCAGCCCAATCATCCACAGCATTGTCAACTGCATGTTTTCCAATATTCTGGCAAAGAATATTCCTCTTCCATAAATAGGTTTAAGATAAATTTTTTTCTGTATCTTCTTGTGAATGTTTTAATGACTGAATGATCCATTGGTTGTATCAATGATGTTGTATTCGCATTAAAAAAAGAGTACGTGATATTTTTATCGTCACTCCACAGCATCCTGGCTTCAGGATGGGCAAGTGCATTGTCCAAAATGAGAATCCGGTATAAAAACTTAAAAAACAAGACGTTAGAAAAATAGATAAACAAATTTTGGTTTGCAATACATACCTTTTTGAACCAGTCACTGAATATTTCCTGAGACATCCATGCATTATGTTGTGCGTAGTAAAGGAAAGCACATTCATATTTATGCCCTTGAAACAAATACTCTTTTTTGCTGTACCAAACAATAATATAGGAAGGCGATGGTCACCACTTGCATTTGGACATATCATTGTTGTGATTCTTTGCTTTTGCGTTTTAAATCCTGGTTTATAATTATCAGACAGTGCAGTGAGTATTTTCGTTGGCAATGCTTTGTAGTTTAAACCAGTTTCATCCGCATTGAACACTTGATCGCCTGTCAAACGATATTCATCGATCATTCTTGAAACTTTCTTTTACATTCGTCAACGACTTCAATACTTGCGACGCTCAATTTTTCACCTTCAATTTTCAGTTTCAGTATACCGTGGCGATTATTAAACTTTTCCAAAAAACCGCTGCTTCCTTTCAATGAAGGATCGCCATTCAATTTCATGTTGAAAAACAACGTTTTTTCGATAACAATTGGTCCAGACAAAGGAACACCTTCGCTTCTTTTTTGAACGAACCACAAATACAGAGTGTCGTGTCGTGCCGTGTCGAGTGATTCATTTGTGGCTTTTTTTATTTGTCTAACTGTTTCATCCGGTTATTCAACGATTCCATTTGCGAAGCATACTTTTCAATTCCTTAAGCATTTTTCTTTAAATCATTGATTGTTGTTCTAGGAACACTACAATTTTTGCTCAATGCGACAAATGAAACAATCAATGTTTGAATCTAAATCAAACTGAATTATGTTGACATACAAATATTGTCTAATAATTATTGTGGTCTATGTTTTTATTCTCGGCTTGCGATTCTAAAAATAAAACTCTAAAAGCACGGTATTATTTATTATTACCCATTTAAATTGAAATTTAATCCAGAGCCCTGAATAGGAACAATAATTATTTACATAAAAAAAATGAGGTGGTGGCATCACTTCTCGTGTACATTTCAAAGAATTTCGTTTGGCTTATCGCAAATGCTCAAACAAAATGAATTGATGACTAAATTTTTACTTATGTCGTCAATATTATTTATGTATAAACCCTGACGGTTAATGGAGAGACGGATAATCGAGGTTCCACTGTATTAGTTTTTAGCAGTAGTAAGCACTCTTTTAATGTAATAACAATCATTTTGTGTTTTAAAGGAGGTTAAATAAATAATTAAAAAACAATTTAAAATATCCTCAAAAGTATTAAACAAAGGCATAGAAAATATTGAAAACAAATAAAACTACATTGACTTTAGTTTATGATGGTGATATAAATTAGAGGGTGGTGCATTTAAAAATACTGAGCAAATAAATTATTTTTTAATAATATCATAGGTGGCAACACGAGGTCATTGCTTTTATACCCTATACAAGACATTGAATATACTTTTATCTTTATAACTTTTTAAATGCCTTGTGTAACACAAAATATCTTTGTATTCTTGTAACGAGGAAGATCCTGTATATTTGTAAATAATTATAAAATTTGAAGCTTACAGCTACCTACTATTTTTGTAAATAGTTTTTTTGATATCTCCCATAATAACAGATAACGAACTTTGTCAGAAAAGTTGATCACACTGAATGTAACAGGAAGTTTAATCACAGATCTACGCAGGGTTTGCAGTGAGAGGAAATAAAATGAAATAGAACAATGAAAACAGGCTGAGCGCACACACAAAAGATACTTGATCACGCCACTTGGAATAAAATATGCCCTCGATGGCAGAAAAACTTTATCCATCAATCCAAAGCCCCATAAGAAAAGTAGATCAAGAAATACCAAAACTAATATGGTGATTTGTAGATAACATTACAGACATATAAAGGTAAAAAGTGGAATAATCTAATTGCAGAATGGGGGCCTTACAAGAATAGGGGAATAGAAGGAAGACCACAAATGCAATGGGCAGACAACCTCAAAAAAATTGTAGACCACAGGTGAATGAATGTACCAAAGAACAGAAGAATTGAATGAATTAGGAAGGCTTATATCCATCAGTGCATGAACAAAGCTAAATTAGATAAATTCATGGAGATTTCTCTGCTCTTACATTGTAATACCTTGTATATAAAATTAAAGTTTCCTCATTCAGTTATTAAGTGACAACATTCCTGTTCATGTTTTGGTTATTTGTAAGTACAGTAATAGACAAATATTATAATTAACAAGTAGACAAATAAAGGCCCTATTTTAGAGTAAATAAAGTTCAAAAAAATTGACATTTTTAGCCACCCTTACTAATGTAAACAAATACACTATTGATAAATTAGGTTTAAACCTACCTTGCAGGCAAATGGTTTAAGTCCTTCATGGTAAGATCACATATGGGAATACAAACTGCCCCTTTGCCTAAACATTTTATCACACTTATCACATTTCAAATATTTTAAATTTCCACTATGAAGTTCCATATGATTAGCTAAGCTTCTTTTATGATTAAAATTTTTAAAACAAACATTGCATTGGTTAAAGTGCTGGTCCATAACATGTTCTTTAAAATTATTGTGAATTGTACATTTGCAAATAAAACAGTATTGAGTTTTATCATGGATCATTTGATGAACTTTAAGAAGGAATTCGCAATTGAAATCTTCTGGACATTCAGAACAGGTGTATATTTCATGTTTTAGGGCACCTTGTTCATCGGACAAGAATTCAGGATCTATCAGGTCGGGAAGATCAACTTCCTCATGTTCAATTTTAACTTTCACATCCATTGTTGCGAATTATAATTGGACATTTATGTCAGCTTTGTATGGAATTTACTCCAATCAAATAATTCTTTCTTTCTCTTATACTTTTTATTTTTTTGATTGACGTTCGTTATTAGAGTATAGGTTATGTATGATGGTTGCACTTGCACTTCTTCTTCTTTTTTCTTGGCTGTCATAACTTAAGCACTGAATAATAAACAATCAGAATGTCCACTCTCAGATGCCGCCTTTGAAGTTTTTTCAGCACGCGCGTCATGTTTTAGAAGGAAACACGGACTATTTTCACATTTGGTCCCATTGAAGATAGCTTCAAATGGGTTTGGCAGAATGAAATATTGGTGTTTCACAGTGTTGAAATTTACATTACAAACGAAACATACGCAATTAAAGGCAATAAGATATTTAAAAACTAATATTTAACGATTACGAAAAAAAGAAAAAGTAAATAGTTTTTAATACAGTTTTTAACAGTAAATAGTAAAATGTCAGTAAAAATAATAAAATTTAAAAGGCAACTGTTGCAATCTGGCAGCTGGTGGTTTGAGGGTTCTGACTCTATTGCAAAATTTATCCGCTAACTTACCAAAGGGCAATTGCCAAAAAAAATTTCTGATTTATTACAACTAATATCAAACGAAACAAATATTACTTCATTAATATTTTATATAAGGTATAAAATTGCAGAATCCATAAAATAATATGATTTAAATGTACCTTTTAAAAGCTTTATGTCTTTTTATTTGAAGCATATAACATATACATTATAATAACATGGCAACACTCTCAATATACAGTTCTGTCACAGAATAATAAACAATCAGAAGGGCCACTCTCAGATGCTGCCTTTGAAGTTTTTCAGCACGCGCGCCATGTTTTAGAAGGAAACACAACACAGACATATGATTTGTGAGTTTATTTAATTGCTTATATTTATGTTTAATTATATTATATTTATGTTATTATATTTAACAATGTTAATATAATTGTATAGTATGTCTATGATTGCCGTAAGTCAATTAAACCGGGTTAATTTTTCTATGCACACCGCATAAATAACACTGGTTCCCTCTAAAACATGGCGGAACGTCTGCGCGAAGGAGATGCGCGTACTTAATTTTCCATGGAGAGTGGGCATTCTGATTGTTTATTATTCTGTGCTGCTACACCGAAATTTGTTGTCCCATGTTTGACATTTGCGGCTATAATCAGCTTATAAATTAAAAATTGCAGAATTCATAAAATAGTATAATCAAAATGTACTTTTTATTTAAAAGCTTGATCTCTTTATATTTGAAGCATACAATATATTATTATGCAATATAAAAACATGCCAACACTGCCAAGCCGAAATATTTTTGACATTTGCAGCTAGGTTCAACTTTCGGTAAACTCAACCATTTGCGGCTATAATCGGCTTGTACTTTCGGTAAACTCAACCTTATAATTTATTTATATTTTATACAAATTCAATAAATTATTATGTTTGTTTACTTCTTCTTCTTACCAAATATTAAACTAATTATAAAATATAAATAAATATCATGTGATAGTAAATTTCATTATCATATAAACTAAATAATCTGTGTAAAAATAATTGTATTTATATGAAATTATTTTAACAAGAAATATTAAAAAAAATATAAATAGATTATTCAAGTTCGTACCACAAAGAATACAAAGCTCTGAAGTCCTCTTAAATCTAGCAGATGTGCTTCTCTTGAGACCAAGAAGATACCGGTTGACTTTAAAGTAAACAGCTCTTCTTATTCGTCATATACCTCTTCTTTTTCTTGAAGTAAAAAACCCTAGTCTTGAAACTCCAATTACCCAAACTCCATAAAAACTCCTTTACATTTGGGGATAATATGTAAAAAGGTCAAAAACGTCATAGATAAATACAGATAGAGGGGATATAGTTTTATAACTTCGGTTAAATACTATAATTCGATACTTCTTTATATCAGTTTATTGCCTTTCGTAGGATCAGTGGTATTAAATTAATAAAAAGCAAAGTATTATCGGACTTGTATAATTAATAAAGCATATTTTGAATAAATTTTTAACACATAGCACAACTATGTAATTCATCAAGTAGCATCCGGGGTTATATTTTCTTGACTTTGGTCTTCACACACATACTGTTCCACTTCTGGTTTATAATTGAGTTCTTCTAGACACAAATTGTCAATGTCATGATTTGTTCTTTTATGGTGTCCCATATATTTGGAATTAAAGCAAACATAATTACAAAGCTTACATTTTAGTGCTTTCTTTCTTTGTCTATAAGTTATCACAGTAGCAACAGGTGCAGCTCTTCGTTTCAACCAACGATTTTTTATATTGCTTAAGTTTTTCTCATCCGATGATTCTGCCACCACTCTGGGAACGTGAATTCTCCTCTTGTGTCTTATAAGATAACGCTGAGTGAAAAATTCGGAATCACATATGTTGCATTTTAATGGTTTTTCCATCAGACATTTAGACCTAAAACAATTATTTATTCAGCTTTATATACCAATAGAAAAAACACGTATAATGAATTGGAACATGGATCGGGAGTAAAGGTATGGTGAAGGATCTCTACTGGAAACCTGGTTAATTAGTCAAAAATTGAGGAAAATCTGCCCCCAGATGACAGTAAAACTTTATCTCTTCATTCAAAACCTCCGAAGCAGACTTCTTAAAAGACACAATGTAGAGCAAATGGTTGTAGTAGTAGTTATCATAGACGTATATATTCTAAGCTTCTCGATACAATCTGCTAGAAAGAGACATAAGGAACAAGCGCAAGAGATCTTGTCGTCAGCACGCGCGGCCGGTTTGCTTGGTCTATGTTAATATACTTATAAGAATATAAGGACAACACATATGAGAGATGAAAGTAAATATTTAAACAAATTAGTTGATTACCTGTGTTCGCTGAGTAAACTTTCGTATTGAAATCGCCTTCCACAATCACATGAATGTACAAAGGCCCTCCTGATAGGTGGTTTTCTAATAGATCGCTTAGCAATCTGAATTGTAGCCCAATCATTTTCGTTTTCGTGATATTTAAAAGAGTGACGTCTCATCACGTCGAAGGTAGCTCCCAAAAATCCACACAAATTACACTTATGAAAAATTTTTCTAACGAGTCTAGTTCCCACCTGACAAATATGTCTACGAGTAGTTTTCTCTCTAAACATTGTAACGAAACATCTCTTGCATTGGTATAGTTTTTTACTGCCAACTTCTATAACGTTCATATTTTCAGTATAGCTTGCAGTTATAATATGCGGTGAGTGTTTTTGAATCATATGAATGTCATAAGTTCTCTTAAGATTATACGCTTTGTTACATAGATGACAGTGATGTAAAGCAGTACAAGTATGCATTTTCAGAAATGCCTCACTTTTATAACTTCTTAGACACTTATTACACATGTATGGTTTGAAATCTTTTCTATGTGTTTCTAAATGAGCATTGTAAGTAGCTATGTTATATACAACTTGATCACAATAGTCACATTCGTACACACATTCTGGGTGATACTTCCTAACATGATCATCCAATTTGATGTTATCCATATGTTCCTTGCACCTAGAACATTTTATGACTTCTATTTTATGAAAATGTGCTTTGAGATTATGGGCATTTTTTTCAGCAATTGACGTAAACTTCTCAGGACACATGGAGCAAAAAATAAACTGTGTATTTTTATGAACGTTTGTATTGTGCACGTCTATATCGTTTACAAACCTATCGCACAAGGTACACTGTTGTACTTTTCCCTCTCTGTGAGCTTCTAAATGTTTTTCCATTGATTTAACGGTAAACATTCCACATAGTTTACATCGAGCAGTGACGTGTTTAGCTAAATGGTTTTTGAGTACTGCGACTGAACCGAATGGTTTATTGCACAGCTCACAAAAAGTAATAACCTTTTTATTATCATGCGAACGCAAATGTGCCTCAATAGTTTTTTTATTAAAAACTTTGCCACAATATGTACATGTTTCAGTTTTGAAATGGGTCTGAAATATGTTCGTGAGTGGTTTTGGATTGTCGGGATTATGCATATTTTTGACATGCCTATTAAGGCCTGAAGAAGTTGTAAAGGTTCCATCACATTCCTAAAAATAGAATAAACTTAAACCTTTAATTTCGCGCACTAGTGTATTTTGTACAACTCGCAAATAAGACGCTGTAAAATCCATTAAGTTGGTAATAGCCCCAACTGGCAGCAATATAACCTTTAATTGTAGTGTTCAGAACTTAGACAAGGAACGAGACTTCTTTCCTTGTATAAAGTTCAGAAAAATTAATACCGGTTGCACATAGAAAAAGAAAGAAGGGTTTCAATATTTTCAACAAACAAAGCTAACAGAACCGAACGGTGTACAAAATGCACCAAGCGCATTAAATATTTTATGTTGTTACAAATTTAACCCTAGAACAATAACCATTCGTAAAATATACGAACGCCGATTGTTTTCTTAAGAATTGGCAACCTTGCATGAATTTTGGAAGCATAGGTATATGAGACTAGCTTGGCAGGTCAGTCTGCCTAGTACATTCACGGTGTAGTTGTCTTTTTTTGTGCAGTCGTTACCCGCAAGATCTCAGTTGCTTCGTAAATTTTACGAAAGGTTAGTGTTAACGTAAGTTTTTTTATTTTGGTATTATTATTTTCTTTTGCCATTTACAGACAATTTAATTAAAAAATGGCTAGAAAATTTGAAGATAAAAGGCCCTTAACCCAATTAGAATTGGAAGCCGAAAAAATATTGATGGGTGAATTTGATGATGAGAGTCTACAATCAAATGAAGAAACTTCTAGTTATTCAGAAAGTGAAGACAGAGTACAAAATTTCAGCCCGTCTGAATCTGAGTACGAGCCAGAATTTTCTGGTGACGAAAGCAGCGATTTTGAGCATAGCAGTCCTAAAACGAAAAAAAGAAAGTCTAATAACTGCTCTACCTCTGTTTCTATGCCTAGTAGTTCATGTAGAGTTCAATATGAG